CGGGTGGAGGAGGAGGCGGGGAGAGGGCGGGGGGGGAGGGGAAGGACAAACGGAGGCGTGGAATCTTGGCTGGCGGACGAGGGTGGACGCGGGTGGAGGCGGAGGAGGAGGAGGAGGAGGAGGAGGAGGAGGAGGAGGAGGAGGAGGAGGAGCAAAAGGAGGAGGCAGGGGACAATGACGTGGAGGAGGAGGAGGAGGAGGAGGAGGAGGAGGAGGAGGAGGAGGAGGAGGAGGAGGAGGAACAGGAGCATGAGGAGGCGGAGGAGGACAGGGAGGAGGAGGATCGCGAGGGGGAGGAGGAAATGGAGGACCTGCAGGGTAATGAGGAGGGGGTGAGCGAGTGGGAGACGCATGATGGTACGCAACGACGGGCCTTGCGGCCTGCTTCTCTAGTTCTGCCACGCACGACGTATTGAGAAACGCGCATCGTATATGAAGCTCTCGACCCTGGTCTGGCTGTGCACTGCGTAGGAACCAGAGGACGAGGAGCACGGGCGAGAGGACCAGGAGGGAGACGAGGCGCTTGGGAAAGAGCAGCGTCGGGGGCATCCGAGGCGGGAGCCGCACGCGGAGATCATGGCCCCCTCCTCTTCTCTCGAGGCGCCTCCTGCGCCCCCACTCTCGTCCCGCGCACGCGCCTCGGGCCGGGATCCACTGAGGCCACTCCTTCCTGGCTCCCTCTTCGGAGCACCCAACGCAGAAATGGGAGGACGACAGACGCGATAGAAGCGTTCGTCAACTCCGCGGCGTGCCCGGGGGGAAGTGAGAAAGGGCGGGCCTTCTCAGAAGGCTCGGAGGTCACCCGCACTTCTGGGGAGTTTTCCGAGCCTTCCCCGAAGACACGAAAAGCTTCTCAGAAGGCTGGAGGGCTTCTGAGAAACCTCGCCGCCTTTGCGAGGGCCTTGTCCTTCTCACTTCCCCCCCTCGCTCGCCGCCGATCAACAGTCCGCCATCTACTGTGCAAGCTGCGTGCATCTCGGGCAGCGCAACAGGCTTACCTTGCATGGGCCCTTGAGCATCTGGGGCATTTTTGTTGGGCGTGCGCGCGGTTCACAAAAGGCACAGTCGCCGTCTCATCGTATATTGAATGTGCGTTGCTCCTTCATATCATTCCAGCATGTGATTATTTCGACAGTTGAGCGCACCCTGCTTCCCGCAAAGAGTGTCTTGTGCTCAAATGGTAGCGGGAACTCGCGTTGTCGCATCGCCGTGCTCAATACGCTGCCTGCGCAGATAGGTGGCCAAGGCAAGGCTGGGGGAACACACGCACACATACTGTTTGTGTTCATGCTTGTCTCTTTACTTGTGACCCTGTTCCACTTCGCGGGGCCCAGTCAGGCCATCCTGGAACCAGTGTCGTCCCCACCCCTCCCCCTTCGGAATGCCTCTATGCCCTGGTTTTGTGACATGTGGGGCAGATCGGGATCTATCGATGGTTGTCCATTCTCCTCTCGAGTTTGATGCCGCAAGATGTTGGGTGGCGTCTCGGTGACTCTGTAGCCTGGTCTCGAGAATGAGGGCAAGCTGCAGAGCTGTGAAGGAGGCAGGCAGGAGGGGATCGTACGTGGCGGAGGGAAGATGCGAGTGATGAGGCGGAAGGGGCATGGAGGAGGAGGAGGAGGCGGAGGAGGAGGAGGCGGAGGAGGAGGAGGAGGAGGAGGAGGAGGAGGAGGGAGGAGGGAGGAGGGAGGAGGAGGGAGGAGGAGGAGGAGGAGGGAGGAGGAGGAGGAGGGGAGGAGGGAGGAGGAGGGAGGAGGAGGATCCGCACAACCCTTCTAGGGGAGGATGGGCTCGGGGGAGGGCGCATCGACCCGCGATCGCCCATGGATCGCCGATGGTTACCAGCCTCGAACGTGTCCCTGTCCCTAAGATTGGCACGCCAAAAGGCCATGACAATCTCAGGGATTCGCCCTCAGAGAGTAAGGGAATCCCCAAGATAAGATTGGCACGCCCATGGATCGCCGATGGTTACCAGCCTCGAACGTATCCCTATCCCTAAGATTGACACGCCAAAAGGCCATGACAATCTCAGGGATTCGCCCTCAGAGAGTAAGGGAATCCCCGAGATAAGATTGGCATCGTGATGAGGAGGTGCCCAGCATAGGGATGGGGATATGTTCCAGGCTGGCAAGATGGGGGTGGTCCGGACCGAGGGGGGGGTCCAGACCAGGGGGGGGTCGGGACCAGGGGGGGGGTCCGGACCCGCCTAGGTCGACTCCACGTAAGAGCGACCTGTCGCCGGAGGGACCTTCGGTGCGGGCTCGTCGGGCTCCCCCCGATCGCCGAGCGCGGTGCGATATCCGCGGCCCGCGCCCTTGGGTTCGGCTCCTTTCGCGCCCCCAAAAGCTGCGCACCAAAGGTCACTCTTACCCAGGGTCACTCTTGCGCCTAGCCGAATAGGAACGTCTGAGTTTGCTATCGGGGGCCTATCGCCGATCCATTGGCGATGCATCGCCGATTTCACCTCGGTGGGTTCCCCCTCTGAGCCCCCGGTCATTGCCCCTCAGGAGAAGGGGGAGGAGGAAGATGTTCCAAACAATGTTGGTAACGTCTTGGTGGATAATCAGCAGGAGGAGGAGGAGCAGTGGACGAGAAGGATGTGTAGGAGTAGGATGTAGGAGGAGGAGGAGGAAGACAACTATCATGTGGAGTACGGGGATGAGAAGAAGGAGGAGGAGGAGGAGGAAAAGGAGGACCAACAGCATATAATACTGTTGTCGACCTCGACTTCCCACACAGGCTGCGCTGACGGTTCTTCCTCCACACACGATTTGAGTTCCCTCGGTGTCAGGCCTTTCGCGGGTGGCCGTTCGAGAGAGGGCGCGCGGTTGGTGTTCGGTGGCAGCACGAAGAGGAAGTGTAGAAGGAGACTGATTAGGTGCCGCAGGATGATAAAGAGTTCGAGCAGCAGCATGCTATGGAGGAGGAGGAGGAGGAAGTATGAAGATGAGAAGGGAGAGGAGGAGCAGTATGTGGAAGAGGTCAAGGCAGAGGTGATGTGATGATGAAGATATCTGGTTGATGAGAGTTGTGCAGAATTTCCACGTTGTTGATGGCAACACGCCTCAGGAATGTGAGTATTACGAGGGGGGCAAAGCAAATTGCGGCCATGATGGTGCGACACCGTAAGCGAGCTGTCTGGTGATTTTGGAGATGAGGATCAGACGCATGAGGATCTGCACCGCAAGAGTTTGCGTTCAAACAACCCAGATGTCCGACGTTGTAATTGTTTTTGTAACGTGGACCCCAAGAGGTCTGGACCCTTTCCTCGGACCGGTTTTCCTTCCTGAGTCGTTTTTCGACGGTCCTGGGGACCAGCGAGGGTCCCTGGGGAGCCGCAAGTTGCCAAACACCACCGTCGCGTTTTCCTCGCAACGAGAGTAGGCGGGTGAAAGCTCAGGAGGGTAGGTATCCACCATGGTGATAAAGGGTCAGAAGTCGCTGAACCCGCCCAACACCAACATCTGGGTCGGGAACCTGCCCGCGAACATAGACAAGGACCCACTCTCCTCCTCCTCCTCCTCCGCCTCCTCCTCCTCCTCCTCCTACTCCTCCTCCACAACCTCTTCCTCCTCCTCCTTCTCCCCCTCCTCCTCACCCTACCGCCTCCTCCTCCTCCTCCTCCTCCTCTTTCCTCCTCCTCCTCCTTCAGCCTTTGCTGCTGATCTTGCCACTTCGCCGCCGCTGCTCCGGCGGCCCGTCCTCGGCCCTCTCCCACGCCGGGGGAGGAGGAGGCGGCGGAGAAGCAGGAGAGTCAGGACACGGAGGAGTGATGGTGGTGGTGGCGGTGGTGATGGGGGCGGTGGTGGTGATGGTGATGATGAGGGCGGTGGTGGTGGTGATGGGGGCGGTGGTGGTGGTGATGGGGGCGGTGGTGGTGATGGTGATCGTGAGTGCGGTGGTGATGCTGAGGTTGGTGCTGCTGTTGATGATGCTGATGATGAGCATGAGCATGTTCATGATGATGCCGATGATGCTGATGACTGATGATGATTATCACGATTCTGATGATGATGATAAGGCTGGTGCTGATGATGATGCTGCTTCTGATGAACATGACGACGAGGGTAAGGAAGAGGACGAGGACGAGGACGCGGACGATGATGCTGATGATGATGATGATGATGATGATGATGATGATGATGAGGATGAGGATGAGGATGAGGATGAGGATGATGATGAGGCTGATTATGATGACGGTGATGCTGATGGTTATGATGATGATAATGATGATGCTGCTGATGATGATGATGATGATGATGGTGGTGGTGGTGGTGGTGATGATGATGATGATGATGTTGATGATGATGATGATGCTGATGATGATGATGATGATTATGCTGATGATTATGACGACATTCACGAGGATGCTGATTATGATGATGATGCTGATGATGAGGAGGAGGAGTAGGAGGAAGACGGAGGAGGACCATGAGGAGGAGAGAAGGACGAGCAGGAGGGGGAGGAGGAGGAGGAGGGGGAGGAGGAGGAGGACGAAGAGGAGGAGGAGGAGGAGGAGCAGGTGGAAGTAAAGGTCGAGGGTGAGGAGGAGGATGAGGAGGTGGTTGTGGAGGAGGAGAAGGAGGATGAAGATGGGGGGGTCGAGGAAGGAAAGGGGGTGGAGGTCCAGAGGCAGACGGTGGAGGTAGATATATGTTGTAGAGGGGAGCAAGGGGGAGAAGGGGGGGGGCGAAAAGAGGAAGAGGAGGAGAGACGAGGAGGGAGAATATTTGGATGAGGGCCGCCGACGTGTCTGGTCAGCTGGTCGTCTAGCCTTGACGAGTGCCGAAGACGCGCGGGGCCATGCACCCTTGAAGCGCTCCGCCCTCGAGTGTGGCGCGGCGTATGGCGCGCGGCCTCCGCACACCCCGCGCGACAATACAGCCGTGTGTCTGTGTGTAATTGTGTGTTTGGATGTGTGGCTGGCTTTAGGTGCTGCGGAAAACATAGCGATTGGTTAGGGCCATGCCGCGACCCCGCGCTTGGTACTTCTGACTCCGCCTCGTCGCTTCGCGCGAGGCCGCTTCCAACGGACTGTGTGTGTGTGTGTGCGTGTGCGTGTGCGTGCGTGTGCGTGTGCGTGTGTGTGTGTGTGTGCGTGTGTGTGAATGTGTGTGTGTGCGCGCGTGTGTGCGCGTGTGTGTGTGTGTGCGCGTGTGTGTGTGTGTATGTGCGTGTATGTGTGCATGTGTGTGTGTGTGTGTGTGGGCCTGGGCCGCTACACCAGCGTGAAGACCTGCATGCTATGAGCGTTCCTTTTGAGCCCGCAGTGTGCACTCTGCGCTCCCCGCCTGGCCGCGGCTCGGCGCCGCGCCTGCCCGCTCTTGGTTCTCTCCCGTCGTTGCCGCTCGCTGGTGGGCCTGGCTCATGCCTCTCCGGCGCGGGCTGTGCACGGGCTCCGCCAGAGAGGGCCTGCCGCTCGTGCCCCACGGGTTAGGTGGTGCCGAGTTGACAGACTTGATCGGGGCTGCCCCAATCCACTCCGGGGTTCGCACCGAAGTTGGTCTCCTCTGAGAGTGCGGCCGTCGCCACTCTTTCCCTCCGTGGTTTCAAGTTGCCATTCCGCATCTCGACCTCGGCCCCCTCCGCGCCGTGCGATTGCCTGCACCGCGAAAAATAGCTATCTGGACAGATGTACAAGATACAAGCGGGAGGGCCTCGCCATGTTCGCTTGTGTGTAAGAGAGGGCAGCACAGCATCGCTCACTAGGCTCACTGCCCATGCGTGGTTCGGTTGGCTGAGAGTCGCCCCCGGCTGCAGCCGGCGCCAGCCGCTGGGCGCCTGGACGAGTTCTTGTTTCTGAACGACCAGTCTTGCGAGCGTCACCCGGCCTTGCGGGCGCTCTGCCTGCACGCCACTTTCGTGGCCACCAGCGCCGCGCGCACTGGGAGGGCGATTGCCGCTAGCGACGCGTGGGTGCAGGCGGCCATCGAAGCAGCAGGTCGTGACGCACCACGTACTAACATCGCCAATGCGCTATGGACGTCGTGATATCCCTCCGCATTCTTCGTTACGCCACCTACGTGTTCATCCTCGCCGACGACTCCTCAGCGTGCAGTTCCGTGTCTGATGCCTCCGCTCCTGCCCCCCTCCTCTTCCGGCTTTGTTTCACATGGCCCGCTTTTTGGTGCGCACTTGCCTGCCGGCGACTGTCCCGACCCCAGTGCTGGCAGCTAACAGGCGCCACTTTCAAGCTGGCGTTTGTGGCAGCGGCCTGGAGAGCTCGCGCGTGGCAGCGACCCTCGGTTCTTCTCCTCTCCCCTGCGTGTCGCTTCGTCACGTGTTGCGTATCATTTCTCACGGTCCCTCTTCTTCTGCAGTCCTTCGCGCTCCGAGTGCGCTGCACTGGACACCGCCGGCGCATACGGAATGGGGCATTTCCGTATCATTCCGTCTTCTAGCTGTTCGCGCTTGCTGTCCATCTTCTGGCAGACGCCACGGTTTCCAGCACATGGTTCGCGTGACGGCCGTGCTTTTCTCTCTTGTTCCTCGTTGCTTTTTCCGCTCCCCTCTGTTCTCCCCGTGTTGTGTTGGATTGTGCTTTGGCCGTTGGAGCTGTCAAGGTTTGAACGCAGCATTGGCCCGCTCTGGTCGACACGATGGTGGTGGACAGTCGTATCGATAGGCCCGTGAGTGCTCTCCTCCCCCTCCCTCCTCGTGCCGTCTGCGTCCCTCGAGGCTCGGTGAAGTGCGCGCGGCTTCACCAAGCGTGCTCCCGAGGGAGCTCTTGGTGTCGTGTTCATCGGTGCGGATCGTGGGAGGACACCTGCATGTCTGTATGTTTGTATATATGCACATAGAGATAAATTACGTATGTGGCTCCCCAGATCTATATCTGTACAGATCAGGTGCGTGTGGCTCCCCAGGGACCGGGGACCTTCCTCCCAAGAAGACAGCATTGTCATCCCGAGTCGTTTTCTGGCTGGCCCAGAGGCTCTGTGAGTGCCCCCCTGGAGGCCGAAAACGGCTCAGGTGCTCCCGCCGTGTTTTTTTTTGCGAGAGGACGTCTGGCCTTCGGGTCGTATTGCGGGTTTGTGGCGCCCGCTCGGGACGATTCAGGAATCCCGGGCGCGCCATCGGCGACGCGCAGCTGGCGGAAGACACCAGGAGACTGGCAAACCTCTTGGGGGAAGCAGCTGATGGGCAAACTTCTCACCACCACTGCCATCTGCAGAACGGGGGAGAGGGGGGGATCCTCCTCCTCCTCCTCTTCCTCCTCCTTTCTACGGCAGGGGTGGTGGAAAATGGGCCCCATCACCAACGAAGATCTCCGTCAGAGCACCTCGAGCCTCGGGCCTCGACCTGGGGCCTGCGCCAGGGCCGCGCCCTGCCCCTTCGCTCCTCCCCCTCCCTCTCCTCGCCCCTGCTTCCCCCATCCCCGATCCCCGCTCTTCGATGGCCCTCTCCGATCCTCGATCCTCCTCCCCCTCGATCCGCCCTCCTCGTCGTCGTCCTCCCCCTCCTCGATCATCGCTCCTCCGCCCCCCTCCTCTTCGATCCTCCTCGATCCCCCTCGATAAAACAATCCTCATCTTTGATCCTCGATTCTCCCCCTCCTCGATTCTTCTCAATCCTCCTCCTCCTCCTCCTCGATCCTCCTCCAGGTGGCTGCGCCTCCAGTAGGTGTTGATCAGACCGCATTCAGCAAAGTGTGGTCTCATCTTCAGAATTTGTCCGGAGGGTGGGTCACCAGCCGCACAGTCAAATCCATCATCTTCTCACAGTGTCGATCTGGCTGCTCCAATTGCGCTGACTCGCTCCACTAATTACCTCTCTTGCCCCCGCTTGCTCCATCTCGTCACGCTGCCCCGTCTGCATGTCCCGCCCGTCCCCCCTTTCTTGTGGCGCTAGCAGGGGAGAAATGCCAAGACACCGATCTCACGGTGGCCGTTGCTCAAGATTTAGCCATTCTTTCCCACGGTACCTTCAAGAATCTTCCTGACGAGCTAGCTGAACCCCACAGCAGCTCGGCAGCTGTGCGCAGCACCTTTCAATACGTCCTGCGGCTCGCGTTCGGCACCAACCCACGGCTCGCTGCTCAAGGGACGTGCGCTCCTCGATCCTCGACCCTCTTCCGCGGCTTCTTCTCCATCGGTCGGCGCCACGGCTCCAGCCTCGGCCGAGGAGCGCCCGCATCAGGCGGCCCCATGTGCGACGGCGGGCCTCCCCGGAGCGGCAGAGCTGGGCCACCCCCCCTCCTCCGCAGCACGCTCCTCGGGGGCAGCGTGAGGGGGAGATGGACTCATCACGGGGGAAGCGAAGTTTCGAGATTTCCGGTTTGAGGTTGTCGGACCTTGTCTTCGATTCTCGGCGGCTTTCCAGACTCGGGGTACATTCCAGCGGCGGCGCCTCGCCGAGAGCGTTCGAAGGATTCCCGGACCCTCCAGAACGACCGCCGGAGGCTCAAGTCATGACCCGAAAGCCACCAGCGGATAGGCTCAGGGAGGGACGCATCGACTCCCAATCGCGGATTCATCGCCGATAGGGGGCCCGAAAGC